ATGTAAGCAAGTTGTAGAGTAAGAAATGGTGCAAATATTGACTGAAGGAACAGAAAAGAATCTACAAAAATTAACTTTGTCAGAAGTAATAGCTAAGAAAACACAGAAATTTAATGCTTCCCAAGTCATAAAAGAAAATCAGGTAGGTAAAAAAATAATTTGTGGACAATAGCAACAGTACTCTTGAATACTACAAACCTAAGATGACAAGTTACATGTCAAAAATAAGGTTCTGCCTTATTTTCTTTGAGCCTAAAAACCTGAAATTGCAGAAGCATACAGCAGCATGTAAAAATGAGCCCAGTGATCCAGGAGGTGGCAGGCTGCACCAGCCACACACCTCTGTACGATGTACTGGCAGACACCTGGAATACTGAGGAACTACTTTTCTCAGAAGACTGACAAATGAGTAGGATCTGCTTATCTTGGGACAAATACTGTTGTTCTTACTCTATTATTCTTTTGTAGACTCCAAACTAGAAGAGCAGTCGACTCACGCTCACAAAGATGGAAATAAACTTGCAGGGGACTTAAGCTGCAACAACTATTCCAGTGCTTCTGCTCCTCAAACACTGTTTTATAGAGTTGTTGGGAATGTAAAGAGTGCCTGAAGTTCCCAGCTCAGTCACTACTGATAGACTTCAGCCCTAGATAAAGAGTATTTCACAGTAAGTTTGCAGTAAACTAGCAAAACAGAATAGGATTGTTTGTTTCCCTGAACTCACCAAGTACTTGCACACAAAAGCCCTGACAGCAATGGCAAGCAGAGCACATCCCACCAATCTAAAAATGCGGAACGAGTCAAACTCCTCCACTGCATTCCCATTCTCTTGGCTTGGCTTCTCACTCATCAGCTGGTTCCTCAGCTTCAGAGCTTCATCAAATCTGGATAAGTACTGGTCCAATCCGTGTCTAGGTGGCCGTGGTGCAGCTTCAGATGGCAGATCCCCTCTATTACGGTGACGGAGCTCACTTGTACCCTCATTGACAAGCTCTGGAGTTTTACTGAACAAGTCCTTATCCCCTTTGAGGTCTACCATGCTGCCTGCATGGTCAGCCGTGCCTGCCATATTACAGACAGAATCACCAAGCACAATTCGCTTGGAAACAGAAGGAATGGGAAGGGAGTTTGATTTATCTTGTTCGTGCTGAAGCTTTGATTCTGTGTGACTTTCATCATCTAAAGAAGAGAAACAAATACACAGAGTTATGCACACCGGGTACGTGGAACAACACTTTAGCCATACTGGATTGGGGTCCTGGGTTGATGTCTCCGCTTCCAAAGTGAAAACACAGATTTATGATTAATCACAAAGCCATTTGACATACCTGAATACAAGCAATCCCATTTTAAAAAGAAATGGGCTCAGCTGATACACAACCTGCTTGTGTATCAAAGGAAAGGTTTACGCTCAGACTGAGGTTACACCACAGATGATGGTAATGAAAAGGGAAGAGCACAGCATGGACCAGACTGAAAATGCTCATCAGCTTCACCAGAATTATGTTTTCACACAACCGGACTTGGCACACTCCTGTCTCCCCTCCACCAGCCTACAAAGAACCCTACCTGTACCACGTGCTTTGCATTGCAGGGCACTCTTCGGAAATGGCGCAGACACGAGACAGAAAGCTGTGCGATGCAGGTTGGAAGTTGAAGCTGTCAGTCAGCAATGAAAAAACGAAGACATTGGATTTCCTTAAACAACAACGCCGCATGCACAAGAGGAAAGATGTTGTTCCAAATACATGGAGCAACATAAAAAAAAGACAAAGATTTACAGAAAGCGAATCACACAGAAGGAGCATTAAAGACTGACAAATGAGCAGGCGATAGGAGAAGCGTACTTTGGCTTGTTCCGAGGCAAAGCAATGTTAACTTGCACTGTATTAAACCTGCAGACCTCATCTTACAGCGAAAGAGGTGATAGCAGAGAACACAAACCAAGCCGAGAGGCATGCAGAACAGGTCTGGTCCTGCCAGAGAGGGATACCAACACTTAAAGAGTATTTTTCAGTATTCAAGCAGACTGATTCATGGCTTATGGGCATCCTTGTAAACTGAAATCTGACAACTCCTTCCTGACAAGACAGTCAGCCTCCTCGAAGTACGTACAGAAAGATGAATGACCTACCTATGAATCTGCAAGAAAACTCTGCGTGCCAACCGCGAACGTCAAATGACTGATTATTATCCAAATGTGAGAAAACTTTGCTATAAAAAACACAGCTGTGAAAGCAAGCAGTTACAGAATGAAAACGTGGGGGAGGCTCATCGTCTCTTCAACTAAGAAAAACTACTTTAAGTGAAATGACAGCTTGTTTGCTCGCTACTTAAGAACAGTAACGGGCCGAAGACCCGCTCTCGGCACGTTTCTGATGACACACGTATTTTATCCGCGGGTCTCTCGAGGACCAGAGCAGGTCGTGCTTCACTTAAAGCATCACTGAAACGAAAGATGGCACAGAGGGGCCAAACAACAGCCGCTGGGAGCCAGCCGCTCCTGTCCCACGAGGAGACTGCGGGGAGCGGTTACGGCAGGAGGAGGCCGCAGCCGGACGCCA